AATTAAGTTCTTCATAAATTTTATGTAATTACTTATATAAATTACTTAATAAAGATATGAGCAAGGCCTCACCTTAACATTTAAAAAAAAAAAAAAAAAGTATTTAATAGTATTTTTTAATTATAATTTAAGTTTATTGATACTAAAATTAGCATTTATATTAAAAATAAAGATTTTGTATTGAATTTTCTTGATTGTGTTATCTGTAGCCAATTATATAAAAGTTATTCTATAAGACATGGTCTAATAATTATTTAGTTTAATTTTTTACTAACACATCTACATATCAAGCATGTTTCTAGAGTTGTAGGATTCCACTATTAAAAAGTATCTAAATTCCTTTTTGTTTTAAAGAAGTTAGCATGGTAATAACTTATTTTTAAGAAGTCACTATTATGCTAACTTCTCTAAAACAAAAAGAGATTTAGATACTTTTTAATAGTAGAGTCCTACAACCCTCATAAACTTTCTATATACTTCTTTTTTGTTTATTCTGAGTAGTTTTCTTTTTTTTAAAAAGTATTTAAACTGTATAAATAATGTAAAATTAATTTGATTTAAACAGCCAATTATATGAAAGTCTTCCTATAAGACCATGTTTAATACCCTCCGGTTCAATAACCATCTACCCAGCCAGTTTAAATACTACTGTGCACACATACTATACTATACTAGGCTAATGCATAGCATTATAGGTCCGGAGTTAAAATATTTAAAATATTAATTTTTTTTACTTAGAGATAAGGTGTGTGTGTAAATTTGAGTTTAGGGGCTTACAATGTTAGATCAAGAATAATGGGCAAACAAAGGAAGCGCCTAGAATAAGTATTAGAAAGGAAGAAAGATTATTGAATCTACGTAGTTGTACAAACGTAATTACTCTATTTTTTTTGTTTTTTTTTTTGGCCTTTACTGGTTTTAATTTACGCGACACGCGTACGAACAGACAAAAAATTTCAAACTTGCACTTATGATCTAATTTCCATAAGGAGTTTCCTTATGTCAAGAAAATGATCTACATCCGATATAACACCCAATTTTGATAATATTATACCCATATATTGTTTATTTTAGTATAAAAAACTCTTTCTATAAGTAAAATTCAATGCTACGCATTTTTTACTTAGAAATTAAGGCCGGTTTCCATAGTAAAATTTTGCTTTATTTATGATTTCTTTATATTTAGCGTTTACGTTAAGATCTGCAAGATCTGCAAGATTCTGCAATTTTTATTGGCTCCGAGCTAATTTTTGTACATCGATTTTCTTGACATAGGGGAATCCTTCAATGAGAGGTACAAAGATGCATTAGAAAAGATACCAATTTTGGGCAAATCGCATCAAAAACGGAACTTTTGTATCACTTTGCATGTACACAAAGGGTCCGTCGCTACGCTCCGGCCAATAACAATTTATATAGCTTTATATAGTGGTATTATAAATTTAAACTAAAGTATACACGTATTGTTTGGGCAATTAGAAATAAAAGTAGCTAAATTTGCTATTTATGTTTTATAATTTTTCTTTTTTATAATTCACAAAATATTATTTATAGTTTTTTTTTCTTTAAACAAGATAAAAGGTTATAATAGGAAATATATGAATCGACATTCTTCAAACAACAATATTTCGTTACCAAGAATAATATCAGGGAATTACCCTTTATTAGTACGTACGTAATTTGATCATGTGGACATGCTTTGAACAAAGTTTATAACAGGCATGTTAAAAATTTTATACATTGATCCAAACTTAAAGGATACAAACCTAATATACATTACTTTTTGTGTATAAATAAAATAATAGTGTTACATGAATATCGCAAAATACTTTAACTACCAGAAAAGCTTAACATAAAGTACAAATAGGATTAATGCAACAAGTATAAAAATAATCGAAGCAGTCAGCATCCGATTGGTTTGCATTCTATAAATAAGAAATAAAGGAGTTACATAAAATTCTTTCATATAAAAAATTAAACAAGTTTTTAAAAATCTTACCGGCGAGTCATACCCTTGAGAGTGCGTTGTGCTTTATCGATATAAGAATCCGCTTCCATGAGCTAAAGGGTTATTGAGTTATAGTTTGCTTAAAAAATTTTATCAAAAAAAAAAGGACAGAAAAGCTTTGTAAATAAATAAATACAGTATTTCTAGTGTGCAAGATCTGTTCTCTTTGTCTACGAATATCATCCAGTACACTAGCACCAATGGTTTCTACATACAATAAAATAAAAAGGACATTAAGTTTAATTTAATTCATTACAAACTTACATGAAACATGAGTTATGATGAGTTATGATACGAATAATTAACACACCAGTTTCTAAAGCAATTCTATGACTTTCTTGTAAGCGCTTACTACTATCTGCAAGTCGTTCAGTTCCATTCAAAAGCCTGGCACGCTGATCTAGTGAAGCACTATCAAGATCAGTAGCACTTGCTCCAGCAAGTAATTCATCTCGATCTGTAGGCACTGAATCGTTCGCAGAAACTTTTTTCTGTAAGATTAAAAAATTATTATCATTATATTTAAAGGATCAAAAATTTTTTTTTTTAACAATGAATTCTAGAAATTACCAAATCACGTTTCAGCTTTTCCAAATTACTCTTGTAAATTCTCATCTTAGCCTGAAGGCGTGTACGTGTTGAAGGCTGTAAATTCAACACTTCCATTTCCATTTGTCCAATCTAATTTTAAGTAAAAATTTGACTCTATTTTTAACAATAAAATTCGAAATTTTATTAAATTCATTAAATTCATACTATTTCCTCGGCTTCATCGATTTCACGTTCGGTCGCACGTACTGTAGACTTACGTTTTTCTATAATTTCAATTAATGAATAAATCAATAACACAATTTATAGAATAATTAAATTAAATATAACCAAAGAACTAAAATGAAAACCTCCAGATTGTGAAGGAAGCGTAGAGTTTATTTTCGTTGAAATGGACTGAGAGATTTGGTCAAAGTCGTGCTCATAAGACTCGAACAGTTCCGAAGCGACGCTCATGGTGAAAGTTAATGTTAAGTTAAAATCAGCATAAAATTGTACAACTAGTTCGAAGACGAATTTATCATTGTCCTCTTGGCACAGTAAATCAACGTTACACGATAAATGAAAATGCTATATTTGTTGGATGTCGTACCGGTTAAGATTTGATTATCGGCGAAATATAGTGATAAAAGTTACATAATGAAGGTTAGACTTTAAATATTCTTAGGTTCAGAATTACAATAGCACCAGTTTATAAATGGTTTATACTCAGTTGAACCTCAAACCTGCAAACTTTTATCAATTAAACTGTCTTTACTAGATTGGTTAATCCGTCTAAGGGCGATTCTTTTTTAAAACATGAAAAAACCTTAGCTAACATGTACGTATATGTATGTAACATTTATCAGTTATGCACCAAAATTTTAACCAAAGCACGTTACAGGATCAACTTAAAAAATATAGTTTCAAATACAAAATGTTAAAAAAGTAATTATTAGAGGACTTTGTAAAAAAAAAAAAAAAAAAAAAATCCTATCGTTTACGTATTAACTAATCCTTTAGTTAATAAGTTGTACGTATATACTGTATAAAATTATTTTTATATAACTAAGTACGTGCATTCTTTTGACCTTGTCATAAAAATTTGGCATCTTTTGATTATCATACGATATGATATATTATATATATTTATATATATAGATAGATATAGATATTTGCAAAAAAATTTTGTGCAGCAGCACATGGGCGTGACATAAACTTCGATAAAAAAAATGACTGTATTAGTCATTAGTCTTAAAATTGGCTGACAATGTATGACCGATTAACATCCCCCCTAGATATATTATGTAAGGGCGCCAATCAGTAAGCAAACATCAAATTTCAGATCGATAAAAGATTATTTATCATAGCTAATTTATATTTCATTAAGTTTTAGCTTTCATTGTTCTTAATTTATGTAGCTTACTTGTCAGGCTAATACGAGGTGAGATATTGAAAAACTTACCCATTGAATTTATGAACGATTCACTTTAATCTTTAGACTTTATAGTTTAGAACTATGACACAGACACTTCGGTTCGACGGACGTACTGTCATCGTTACTGGCGCCGGGGGCGGTAAATACATCATTTTTTTTTGAAAAGGGTGGAAATAATGTTTGCCATATTTAAGTTTACTGAGAGGTATTGTTTTAACAAAATTCTTTTATTTAGGCCTTGGACGTGCATATGCACTCGCTTTCGCCGCGAGAGGTGCTAACGTTGTTGTTAATGATCTTGGTGGCTCACGGGCTGGTGATGGATCTTCCACTGCTGCTGCTGATAAAGTTGTAGATGAGATTGTTCATGCCGGCGGTAAAGCGGTTGCAAACTATAATTCTGTAGATGATGGTGAAAAAATTGTCGAAACCGCCGTTAAGGCATTTGGTCGTGTGGATATCGTAATTAACAATGCTGGGTAATAATTGAATAATGTACTTTAATTTCTTTTTTTTTATGAATCAATCAGGATATCTTTTTACCTTATTGATCGATTCATTTTGTTTTTAGAATTTTACGTGATAAATCATTTTCAAGAATGTCAGATCAAGATTGGGATTTAATTCAAACGGTTCACGTTCGTGGTTCATACAAGGTCACAAAAGCCGCATGGAATCTCTTTCAAAAACAAAAATTTGGAAGAGTTATCAATACAGCTTCTGCCGCTGGTATCTATGGCAATTTTGGTCAAGCTAATTACAGTGCAGGTAACGTTCTAAACCTTGGATTACGTAATTTAAGTTATTACCGTTGTTATCAACATATATCGACACCCCAGAACTAAATGATATATGAATGACGCCAAGAGAAAACTCGTAAGTCTTATTTTTTTTTTTGGTATTTACTTTTAATAAAAATATCTTAAAAACCGTAATTGAACATTTATTGCTTTATTATTATTCGATTCGTCTCATCAAGACGACTCAAATGATATTAAAATAATAAGTGTTCAATGCTTAATTTTAAGATGTCTTTATTAAAAGTAAATATTCAAAAAGTATGCATGACTTACAGGTTTTCCCTTAGCAGTACTCATATATGAAAATTGATATCTTTAAAGAATATCTACAGGTTTAAGTCTTTCTCCATGATTATTATTGCAATAATGGTGGTGTTGATATATAAGAAGTTGATAACAACGGAATTTGATTATATTTGAATTTCAAAAATATTTAATTTGCCATTATTATTGATCATGAAAATGTTCGAAAATAAATAGCTAAGCTAGCATTGGTCAGTTTCACTGAAACACTCGCCAAAGAAGGTGCCAAGTACAACATTAAAGCTAATGTAATTGCTCCAATTGCTGCGTCTCGTATGACCGAAACTATAATGCCTCCAGATATTCTTGCTTCTCTCAAACCTGATTATGTTGCTCCTCTTGTCCTATATTTATGCCATGAATCAACTGAAGAGAGTGGTAGTTTGTTCGAAGTTGGTGCTGGTTTTGTTGCTAAACTTCGGTGGGAGCGTGCTAAAGGCGCCCTATTTAAAACTGATGAATCATTTTTACCGGGTGCTGTGGTCCCAAAATGGCCCGAAGTTACAGATTTTTCTCAACCACAATATCCTACTTCTACAACTGATGCTGACTTTGTAAGTTTAATTGAGCAAGCAAACGCTTTACCATCCAATCCTAAAGGCGAAGATCTTCGATTTGATGGCAAAGTTGTCGTTGTTACCGGTGCTGGTGGTGGATTAGGTAGAGCCTATGCACTTCTATTCGGACGATTGGGTGCTTCTGTCGTTGTAAATGATTTAGGCGTTACTACTCATGGAGCAGGATCATCTTCCAATGCTGCTGATAAAGTTGTTGAAGAAATACGTCAATCCGGCGGTAAGGCTGTGGCCAATTATGATTCTGTGGAAGATGGTGACAAAATAATTGAGACTGCCATAAAAGCTTATGGTCGCGTTGATGTTATTATTAATAATGCGGGTGTCTTAAGAGATAAATCCTTTGCTAGAATGGCTGATGAAGATTGGGATTTAGTACAAAGGGTTCATTTACGTGGTACTTATAAAGTTACAAAAGCCGCTTGGCCTTACTTTACCAAACAAAAATACGGTCGTGTAATAAATACATGTTCTTCTGTTGGCCTTTATGGTAACTTTGGACAGGCTAACTACAGCGCTGGTACAATAATTACTTTTCCAATTCTTATTTATTTGATTTATTTTATAATATTTTAAATTATAATTTTAACAAATTGAAATTTTCAATTATAGCAAAGCTTGGAATTCTCGGATTCAGCAATACACTTGCACTGGAAGGTCGTAAAAATAATATTCTTGTAAATACCATTGCACCTACCGCAGGAACACGCATGACTGCTACTATTTGGCCACCAGAAATGGTTGAAGCCTTCAAACCGGATTATGTAGCACCTTTTGTCGGTTTTCTTGCCCATGAATCATGTCCTTCGACTGGAAATGTATTTGAAGTTGGTGGTGGGTGGATCGCCCAAGTTCGTTGGCAACGTTCCGGTGGCATTGGTTTTCCTACTTCCAAACCTCTTTTGCCAGAAGACCTTGCTGCAAAATGGGATGCCATCACTAATTTTTATGATGGTCGTGCCACACATCCTAAGACTACACAAGAAGCTCTCCAACAATTCTTTGAAAATTTTGCCAATGCTCAATCGTCTGAAAATTCTAAACATACAGAAAAATCTGCCTCATCTGGAAAAATTGATGTAGAGGCGGCAAAGAAACAAAAATTTGATCAAATCGAATGTTCATATCAGGAACGAGATGTGATTCTTTATGCATTAGGTGTCGGTGCTACTCGAAAGGATTTACAGTGGGTTTATGAAAATAGCGAAAATTTTCATGTCTTACCAACTTTTGGTGTTATTCCGGCAGTTAATAGTTTGTCTACTTTCCCTCTTACGTCAATATTGGGCGACTTCAATTTTGTACGTATTCTAATAAAAATTATGCTAACTAATTTGTATGCCTTAATCAAGCATATTTATTTATTATTTTAATAGATGATGCTATTGCATGGTGAACAATATCTTGAACTCAAGAAGCCTATTCCAACCTCTGGCAAATTAATCTCAACGCCGCGTGTCGTTGATATTCTTGATAAGGGCAAAGGTGTGTCAGTAACCCTTGGTATAACTACCAGAGATGAAAAAGGTGAAATCGTATTTGAAAATGAATCTACCTTATTTATACGTGGGATTGGCGGCTTTGGCGGTAAGAAAACCGGTGAGGATCGAGGTGCAGCTACAGCGCCAAATAAACCACCAAACCGTCCCCCGGATGCAACTGTACAAGAAAAAACTCTTGAGTCACAAGCTGCCATATATCGCCTAAGTGGTGATTATAATCCATTGCATATCGACCCCAACATGTCTGCGATGGGTGGTTTTGAAGTACCAATTCTTCATGGAATGTGTACTTATGGTATATCTGGCAAGCATATATATACAAAGTATTGTAACAACGATCCTAACAATTTTAAGAGCATAAAAGGTCGGCTTGCTTCACCGGTCTTTCCTGGTGAAACGCTTGAAACACAAATGTGGAAGGTCAGATCAAATTTTGTTTGTTTTATATTCTTATTCATTTTGTGAATAATTATTAAATAGTTTTGCATCGAAAAATAAAAACAGGAAGGAAATAAAGTCATCTTTCAAACACGCGTCGTTGAACGAGATGTCATTTGTGTCGCATCTGCAGCGGTTGAACTAAAAAATTCTGGTGGAAATATTCCCTCCAAGTTGTGATTGGACGTCTGAAACACCGTCTCCAATTAGATAAGGTGGAATACAGCTCTGCCACAAAAAAAAAAAAAAAAAAAAAAACCTAAACTGCCTTTATATTATCGTTATTTAATTATGAATACTTTTGGTTTTTTATAAAGGGAAGCAAAGCGTTTACAGATTTCAAAGTGTTTATAACTCTTTATTTATGTATTTTGCGAGTTCTTGATTTTGTTATTTGCTAACAAAAATTGCAAAACAATTG